TAGGAGCCTCCCTGAGTCCTTTGGACAAAGCTCTACTTGTTGACATACCATGACAGTATGGTCCTGGATTAATTTATACATTTCCTTCCCCTGAGCTGAAATCAACTATTTTTCCATATGACTTCCTTTTAATGAGAAGTAGTAGTTAAATACCACAATTTTGTGCTTGGGGTTTATTCATTGCTACTGTACTCATCATTATTTCTAAGTCTTCTCAAAAGATAAAAGTAGAATATTTTCCTAAGATAAAGCACACCATAAATTCATACTCATTCTTTCCATTTAAATGCAAGGGTTTCACAAAAGGATTTTTACTTTCACTTATATCTCTCTTTTCTCTCTCTCTGTCTCTCTGTCATGTGATAGAGGTTCTTGATGTTTGTTTCTCAAGTAGACATTCATGCCCTCAAGCCCTCTTCCTCATTTGAAGCCCATTTTTGCAAGCACTGTGTGAACCCATCTCACCGAGGGCCTTCCTCTCTCTGGCCTTCACCTTTACCAACTTTACCAACATGATGTCCTTCTCCAGGGACTGTTTCTTCCTGAGAGCATATCCCAAGTATATGAAATGAACTTTTACCATTCTCAGTTCTAAGGAATAGTTGGGCTGTATTTCTTCCAACACAGATTTGTTCATTCTTCTGACAATCCATGTGAGAAAATAGCACCAGCTGCCCCTTCCACAGCATTCTCTACTTCTTAGCTGGTTTCAATAATTCATTTCAGTGGCCACACAAAACTCAAGTCACCATACTCAGAGCTATGGGGTTTACTAGGGAAGTTAAAAGGTTATAATTTAAGGTCAGAAATGCCCAGGGCACAGTTGTTCCAGTCAGGATGGCCTCTTTCCAAGCTCTCCCCAGCCTTTGGCCTGGCCTCTTCCCTGCTCCAGCAATGTTACAAAGCTCTTTTAGGGTTGCTGAGAAATGCTCAAAAGGTACATCACTCCACTACAAGCCTTAGCCTGTGGGTGAGCGAACTTGGCTCCCTCAATTAAGTGCTGAGAGGCATCCCATTCTGCAAGCAAGTCTCCTGCCCAAGGTCACTCTGTTTAATTTACTCTGTGAGCTGGGAAGCCCATCACTCTGTCTCATGTACTGACTCCTGGTTCTGCCACTGCCGCTGCCGCTGCCGCTGTCACTTCTCTGCTGTCACAGCTTTCTGTCTCTGAGTTAAGGAGAGTCAATGTGGAGAGATCTCAGGCCCAAAGGACGTGCTCCGCTCCTAGCTCTTCCTTCTTGGTAGTGAAATCCCCCCTCCTGCTTCTGTGATGGCTCATTTTATACCCATGTACAATTTCTTACAATTAACTTGGTCCACAATCACTCACAACTGAATCATATAATCCCTCTGCATCTTCTCCCACTTTTTCTTACCCCAACCTATCAGTAAGAAGTTGTTTGGTGGTAGTTTATAGAGACGATGATTGCTGCTATCACCACCGCCATGTACTGTCAAGGTGGTTCTGAATCACAACCACCCTGTAGAGTGGTTCCAGGGCTGTAAATCTTTACCAAAGCAGAAAGCCTCATCTTTCTCCTGTGGAGCAACTGGTGGATTCAAATTGCTGACCTGATGGTTTGCAGCCCAACGAGTAACCCACTATGCTACCAGGGTTCCTAGACTATGGCATCAGAACTCCATGGCTAGAAGAGACATTAAATAATGCACTGCGCCGTACCGTGGTATAGTTAATACTTTTCACAAACACTGTAATTCAAATGCATCAACTCATCTTTGGCCATTCTTACTTATTGTCCAGCTTTAGGATGCGTATGAGGCAATTGAAAATACCATGACTTGCTTAGGTCGGGCACACCTCAGTCTTCAAAGTGGTATCTTTGGTTTTTTTAAAACACTTTAAAGAGATCTTTTGCTTACTCAATGCAATACATGATTTGATTTCTTGACTGCTGTTTCCATGAGTGTTGATTGTGGATCCAAGCAAAACAAAGTGTTTGCCAACTTCAATCTTTTCTTCATTTATTATGATGTTATTTACTGGTCCAGTGATGAGGATTTTTGTTTTCGTTACACTGGGGTGCAGAGGCCATAGTCTTTGATCTTCATCAGTAAGTATTTTAAGTTATCTTAACTTCAAGCAGGCAAGATTGTATCATTTGCATATTGCAGTCCTGTTGCCACGTTCTTACTCATATAATCCAGTTTCTTGGATCATTTGTTCGGCATACATATTTAATAAGTATGGTGAGAGAATACAACCCTGGCACACTCCAGTGTAGTTTTCCATTTTCTTAAAACTTCTTCATAATAATACATATTTTTAATTTTTATGTGTACATCAAATATTTTTGCCTTGTTCAATTGTGAAATGTAAGATGTAAGTGGAGAGCCAGAGGAAGTAGGATAACTGTTGTTACAGGGAAGGCGTTGTCATCACTGACATGAAACACAGGGTATAATTTGTTCAATGTAACGCTGATGATACTATCTGTAAACCGTCACTCAATTCACAATAGAAAGCTTTAAAATAAATAAACAAATAATTTTGTAAAAACATTCTTCGCATAGGTCTTATGACCTTACAGAAAATCTATCACAGTTATCCCTTTGGAGTCCCCAAAACCAATTCCCATAACCGTCTGAACTGACATCTCTGATGTCTCCGCATTAAATTTAAGTGACCCAGCAGGTCCTCTTGAAAGCTATTGATTTGATTGGACCTTTTTAGTGAAGGCATTTATAGAGTCCTGATGCGGCATTGTAGGATAAGCACTGGACTGCTAACTGCAAGGTTGGTGGTTCAAACCCACCAGTCTATACTTGGAAACCCAATACAGGGTCGCTATGAGTCAGAAATGATTCGATGGAACTTAAGAATACCACCAAAGGAGACAAAAACAGATGTATCACTGACAGAACTTATATGCAACCATCCACTGATCACAGAGACTTGTTTAAACATGTTTTGTTTGGAACAAACGCATGCCTATAGGAACTGAAACCCTAGTAGAAATACACTGTTTTTATTTACATTCATCCATATTGCAAATCTCTTCCCCCAACTCTGTGGCTTGCCTTTTCACTCTGTTCATGATAACTTTTGATGACAGAAGTTTCTATTTTCCATTTAGTCCTATATATCAAATTGTTTCTTTATAGTTGGCACTTTTAGTGTCTTATTTAAGAATTTTTATCTATCCCAAGTCATGAAAATACTGTCCTAGGTTTTTTCATCTAGAAATTGTATTGTTTTACCTTTTGCATTTAGAATTACAATCTGCTCTGAGTAGATTTTTGTTTAATATGTAGGGTTGTTGTTGTTAAAGTGCCATTGAGTCAGTTCCGATCCATAGCGACCCTGAACAGGGTTTCCGAGGCTGTAAATCTTTACAGGAGCAGAACGCCTCATCTTTCTCCCGTGGAGCAGCTGGTAGTTTCGAACTACTGACCTTGCAATTCACAGCCCAATTCGTAACCACTACGCTACCAGAGCTCAAAATTCTTTGTTTTCTACATAAATATCCTATTGCCCGAGCAGCTACTTGTTGAGTGAAAAGATTGTCCTTTAGAGCTCTGCACTGCCCTGTCTGTGTAAATCAGGCATTTATATGTGGGTGGCTATGTTTCTGAACTGTCCCAGGAGTGTCCAATTGAACTTTCTCTGATGAGGTAAATATTCTTTATCTGAGCTAGCCAATGCAGTAGCCATTAATGTGGCTATCCAACTCTTGGTATGTGACTAATGGGACTCAGGAACTGAATCTTTAATGCTTAGCTTTAATTCATCTGAATTTAAATAGTCACATGTGGTTAGTGACTACTGAGTTGGATAGTGCAACATCGTGTTTCATCATATTTTTATATAAATATACAAATAGTATCTATTTGTACTATAGACCCAGTCCAATACGAATACTTCTGTTTCTTAATTATTGTAGCCTTATCATTATATTTATATTTTGTTCTCCATCAGATTGAGAAACCCTCCTAGGCTCTTTTATTTTCAGGTAAGTTTTAGAATCAGATTCTGTTTCCACAAAAGCCCTGTTGTGATTTCAACAGGAGTTACAATGAATCTATAATTAACTCGGAGAGAACTGAAATTGTTAGGCTATTTAGATTTCCTGTTTATGAGCATGTTGTTAAGTGTTGTTGACTTGATTCCGACTCCTAGGAATCCTATAGAGGGTTTCCGAGACTGTAAACCTTTGTGGGAGCAGAAAGCCTCATCTTTCTCCCACAGAGCTACTGGTGGGCTCAAACCACTGACCTTGTGGTTCATAGCCCAGTGCTTATCCTCTAGAGCCACAGCCTTGGAAATCATGAACATCCCTTCATTTACTTAGGAATTATGTTCTCTCAATAATGTTTTGTAGGGTTTTTTTTGTTGTGGTTTGGTTTGGTTTGGGGTTTTTGTTTTGCTCTTCTTTTATTAAAATCATTCCTAGACATTTTATGTCTTTTGATAGTGTAAGTGGTGTTGGCTTGAAATTTTTATTTTCTAATGGCAGGCATATTCTTGGTCTCTTTAACATCTTTTCCAGGTTGGGTTGCCCTGTTTTTAACCACATTTCTGTGTTGGGGAGGCCTCAAAAGTCATCAGCTTTACATTCAACAAATCGTATACTGTTTCATCTTAATGATTACAACCCTCCTCATGTAATAACAGTTGTCCTACTTCCTACATGTGGTTCTCACCTTCCCATCCCTTATCAACTTTGTCCTTAGGAAAATATTGCCCTTTTGATGCCTCCAAGATTTTTGTAGCATTTATCTTGTCTTTCATTACTTGTACACCTAAAGTCTAAAGTTCTTGATGTCCTTTAGGTTGACAAAGAAGGAGGAACTGAAGTCCAGCCATGATGAAGACTCCTAGTGAAAACAGGGAGTCTTTGGATTTGAAACTCCAGGTGACTAGACCTTCTGAATCCAAATCCATACGTGTTACTGCCTTGGCTTCCCAGTCCTTGAAGTCCTTATTGCCTACTGAGAAGGTGAATGGGGAGAAACAAGAGTTGAAAATTATGTCATCATACATGTGGTCTGATAAAGATGACCCATTGGAGACTTTGGATAAAGATGAACCAGAGAATGAAGCCCCCACTGATCGACCATCCTGGGCCTATAAAATTGAGTACCTCCTGGCCCAGATGGGCTTCTCTGTGGGGCTGAGCTCCGTCTGGTGCTTTCCTTTTCTGTGTTACCACTATGGAGGTAGGTGGCAAGCCTGGGGACCAAGTCTCTTGAATACACAATGGGATCAGGAACCAGAGACCTGACATGGCTACTCTAGGTCTCTGAGATATGAAGGGGTTGAGGAGTTGGGATCCTGACAGGGGCAGGAACCAGATATCTGAGTACCTAGGGCCTTGGACGGGTGGGGAAAGGGTATCAGAACTTCGCCTGCATCAGGGATGGGAGTGGAAACCAGGTATCTGTGTTCCTAAGCTTTGGAAGCTAAGGGACTGCACACCTGGGACTGTAAAGCAGTTGAACTCTGATGCCTATGCCCTGAGGGTGGTCACTGTGGGGGGTATGTTTTCCTGAAACCCTGAAGAAGTCCAGGTACTAAAAGGTCACATGGTCCTCAGAGCCCCTCCCTGACAACCTTGCACAGGTACCTTTCTTGTCACCTACATTGTCATGCTCTTCTTGCTTGGGATCCCTCTCCTCTTGCTGGAGATGGCAGCTGGTCAGAGACTTCGTCAGGGTAGCATTGGTGTATGGAAAGTCATCAGCCCCTGGATTGGTGGTGTGGGTTATGCCAGCTTTACAGTGAGTAACCCTGGGTCTACCCTTTACACCCACCCCAACCCTTGTCTTGGAATGAATGAATCCTATGGTTTCATTTCCATGGGTAAGTTCCCTTCAGTGGACCAATCCTCAGGTCAAATTTCCTTCCTTCTGCTGATCCACCTTCCCTCTCCTGTCGCCTCCCTTCATGGTCCCTAGACATGTGTCATCGTGGGCATGTACTACAGTACCATCATGTCCTGGAGCTGCTTCTATCTCCTTCAGTCTTTCCAGTCTCCACTGCCTTGGACCGTGTGCCCTCCACTGGAGAATTCCAATGTTTCTAATGAGAAGGAAGGAAGAAAAGGGGAGGTGGGAGAATCAAGAAAAGGACAAGGGAGTGAAAAAGGGAAGGAGGATCATTGAGAAAAGAGGGATGAGAAGGAAGATGATAAAATGGGATTGAAAGAATGGGGTGGATGTGAAGAAAGGGGAGGCACCTGGTCTTGCAGTTCTCTCCACAGTCAGTTCACTCCAGATCCTGAATGTGAACGTGCAACATCTACTACATACTTCCGGTACCAGAAAGTATTGAAGGCCACCAAAGAAATTGAGAAAGGTGGGCTACCAGTCATTCATCTCAGTCTGTCTCTCTTTATGACCTGGTTAATTATATGCATCTCCATGATCTGCGGGCTCAAATCCACTGGGAAGGTGAGCCACCCTCTAACTCACCATTCATCTCCCAATTTCTCACTCTTTCTACAACTCTTATTAGAAATTGAAGTTCTAGAAATGAACTCCAATTTGTAATAACCTTTGATCCTATAATCCCCAACTTCTGTTTTTTGTTTTTGTTTTTTTCTGAATTGTATTTCCTACCCAGATACTGTACGTCTCAGTACTCCTTCCCTGCTTCATCCTTGTATGTCTCCTTTTCCAGAGTCTTCAGTTGGAAGGTGCATATTCTGGCCTCAAGTATTTATGGGATGCCAAGGTGAGGTGTGACTCCTTTCCTTAATGCTCAAATCCAGATGGGGATGTTAGGGTGCGTGTAGTTGCAGTCTGAAAGAAACTTTCATTTCTCCCTCTTTTCCTTCCTTCTTCTCTTCTTCCCTCTCATGGTTTACCTCTTCTACCTTTATATCCCTGTTTATATGGTACTTTTTCCGTTCAGGTGTCAACTCTGTTCTCTGTGGATTTCTGGCACTGGACAGGGAACCAGATCTTTTATGCCTTGAACCTAAGCTTTGGCAGCTTCACTGCAATCAGCTTATACAACTGTGTCAATGACGCCTTTGCTGTGGCTCTTCTCAACTTGGTCGCCTCAGTGACGGCCACACTGGTTATATTTTGCATAATTGGCCATTTGGTCATAACGGAGATGAAAATATGTCACAAGAAGTGAGCCCAATCTTTCATATGGAGATCATCAGAAAGACCAAAATCTTATAGCTAACCCACAGAACTCCAGCGTAGACCCCCAACCTCAGGGCTATTGGCTTAGTAAATATGGGATCCTCAAATTGGAGCACCCAAAACCTTAGGAATACCTGAATCTGTCCAACTCTACCCCTTTTGGAACTACCTTTCTCAACTAGAAAAACCCCAAACTCAGGGAATTTCAAAGATGTGTTCGCCCCATTCTTAACTGGAATCTGCCATGAAATAATGAGGGGATACTCATAGTTTGGAATCCTGGTGTGACTCTTTGGGATAAAGCACTGGACCACAAGGTTGGCAGTTCAAACTCACCAGCCGCTCTTTGGAAATCCTGTACAAGGCCACTACGAGTCAGAACTGATTCGATGGCACTTAACAACAGCAACAACACTTACAGTTTAACCATTAAGCAAAATAAAATCGGTCCACAGAGCCCCTACTGGCTCCCCATTCTATTCTCCTGTAACAATCATTCCAAAAACATTATCAGACATTTATAAAACAGCTCCTATCTGCCACCCCCTGTGTTGAGTTAAACCACCATCCCTACCCTCAAGAAAATCATAGTAATTTTGAGGAAGCAGATGCTAACCAGCTAATCACAAATAAGGTTATAAGTAGTTATAGGGTAAGGATGGATGACAGGGAGACTGTGAGAAGGAACCCATTAACTGGGTCAGTCAGAGTAGGTGTCTTAGTGGAGACAAACTCAGTTTTGTCTCTTGACAAATAACCACGGTTAGTATTCTTTCAAATATTTCCTGTTGCAGACCGTGTAAAGCTGGTCAGAAGTTTGAGGCCTGGGGGGCCCGAGTGTTGCAGACAATGCAGGCAACAGGCTCTGAGGAACAAATTCTGGCCACTGGCAGTCATAACAAATTGTTTTTTATCTTAGTGTTCAGTTATGTGTTTTTTTTAATTCCAAACATGAGCCCTTAATATCCACAGATAAATGTAAGGTTAAACCTTTCTCCAAAGGATTAACTAAAAATAGCTTAGCTACTTCCCGGTTCTTTGTTCTATAGACAAAAAAGCTATCCTCCCTAATCCTTTTCCATGTGCAGCCCATTCACCTGGGCGTCTAGCGTCCTTGTGCAAACCTGGCTCAGGAAGCCAAAACAGTGGGATTCCTACCAAGCCTTTTGTCCTTCCTTTTCACCTTCTCTCAACTGAGCTCAGGGGCTATAGATATGTTAATTGAGCCTGAGAAACCAAGTTGCGGGCCTGGGATTTGAACCAGCGACATACAATATAAAGTTACCTGAATGTCTGAAAAATTACTGATGTTAGCGGTACTTTGTCTTAGTCCCTCCCAGCTTGGTGTGAAGCTCCTCCCCTAAATAAAATGGAGATGCAGGCTGGCCCAGGTGTGCATTATGGCTTGGAGGGCATGTAGTACAGTTTACAGGGCAGTGAGTTGCTGCCTGCAGAGGCCACGATGCCTGTAGTCCCAAGTCTGCCCACCAGTGATGCATCCACCCTGGTTTCAGCGTGCCTCATTGTCCCCCTCCTTTTGCCTTTCTATGTATTCTTTTGCTATTCCTATCACCGCTAGATCTCCCCTCCTCGTGAACCAAACACTCGTGAACCAAGTTCCTATGTTGAGGCCGGTCCCCGACAATTTCCCACTCAGAGACCTATGTTGTTGTTGTTAAGTGTCGCTGAGTCAGTTCCGACTCATAGCAAACATGTATAGGGTTTCTAAGGAGCAGCTGGTGAGATTGAACTGCCTAACTTGCAGTTCAAAACGACCTTTTGATCCAGTGTTTATCTTACAGCGCCATACCCAGAGACCTATCTATAACGTATTTTTTTCTAAAATTCTATCATACCATACTACTTGTCTGCTGCTTGCTTATTTGCCTTGTAAGATAGATCCTTCTAAAACATATCCTGAACAGTTTTCTAGGGCAGTAAATAAAATTCAATGAACTGAGTAAGGGTGTTTATGAATTAGCCTTATGGAAAATGGATGTTTGGGTAGAAATGTCTAACACAGGAGAACATCCTATGCCAGACAAAGATGTTGAGATGGGAGAAAGCGGGACAAGTTGAAGACACTTCGGTAGTTGAGTTTGGATAAAGTACAGTGGATGAAAAGGGCTATGGGAGTAAATATTGCAGAAGAGGCTAACAGGGCTGGATCAAGAAGATTGAGAAGCTCTCATTTCATCCTAAAATTGCCTATTAGGAGGCAAGTGTCCTAAAGCCTTGAATGATACTATAGGCCTTCCCTGGTGTATACCTGAGTCAGAAAGTCACCTGGTTCACACAAACACCTTTGTAATTATGAAAGATGTGGCAGTATGCACTAAGATTCTGAAGACCTAGGTTTCAGCTCAAGCTCTACCATAACTAAACTGAAAAAAAAAAAAACTTTAGATGAGTGATTTTCCTTCTCATCTAAAATACAAGGGAGGGAAAATGCTCTTAAAAGCAAAAAAATTTTTCAATTTTAGTTTTTTTATGATTCCTCCTGTGCCCAGTAATGCTAATAAACTTGTGTACTTGGTGTCTGTGGGGAAGCTACCTCCTGAGGCCACGCCCCCAAATAGTGTGTATCAAGAGCCAACCGTCATCTACACCAGCTGGTTCAACGGACACCATAAAAATGTCCAAACTATGATCACAGAAAACCTGCCCTTATGTGGTTTAGCTGAGCAATTCGATAATGTAGGTAAGGGCTGGGAATGGGGTCCCAGAGTTCTCCAAAGCCCCCAGTGTACCCCAAACTTCTGCTCTCATTGGTACCAGTAACATCCTACAATCAGAACTAAGGTTCACAGTAGCCTTTTGTGATAAGGCAATTGTAGCCTCCATAGCACCAAGAACTGCAATTCATACAAGCTTGTTCATGCCAACTCCAAAAGTGTTGGTAAACCAGAGGATGTTTAAGAGGAAGTCCCCATGTCTCAAGACCAAATGGGTATAGTCAGTTCCCATTAATAGTGCCACAAATCATTTCCTAGGAAAAGAGACAGGGACTCCTAGAAAAGTGAAGACTCTGCATGCTGAGCTAAGAGCTCTTGCCATTTCTCACTTCACTCCCAGGTTATGAATGGCCCAGGTGTGCCTTTCATGGCACTCACCAACCTCATCTCTGATTATGGGAGCCGCACCTTCTGGACCATCCTCATCTTCCTGTTACTGATGAATATTGGGCTGAGCACCATGGTAGGGGTCCTACAGGGCATCATGACCCCACTTCAGGACACCATCTCTTCCTTCAGGAAACATCCAAAGCTGTTCACAGGTACTCTTACGTATGATCCTACTCCCACCTGTGATTGGTCCATAGATTAACCCCACAGGGACTCGTACAGCTCAGCTTGAATTCTGACTTTGATCCAAACCTGATGTTTTCCCTCAGTGGGAGTCTGTATGTTTATGTTCCTGGGCGGCCTTGTGTTTACAAGACCCTGGGGCAGCTACTATGTGAACCTGCTGGATGATTACTGGGCATTTCTGCCCCTCTTCTTCATTGTCATCTTGGAGGATGTGGCCATGGCCTGGATCTATGGGGCCAGAAGGTGATATCACAAACCAAGGAGTCTCCTTTCATGTGCTCGTACTGCTAGGGTCCCTTAGGAGGATCCCTCTGCTCTCTCACCTCTAGGTCTCTGATTTCAGGACTTAGGGACAACCCCCCAGGAGGGTGGGAAGAAGACAGATATTTTTTCTGGAGAAAATAGCTATAAAATGGAAAAGTGGTGAGCAGCCCCATATCAAGTCCAAGGGTCTCCTGAGTCATCCTTTGAAGCATGGTAATATACACATCCAAAATGTGTAATCCCTTGCTTCTCAAAGTATGATCTAGGGGCCAGCAGAATTGGCATCACCTGGAAATTTATTAGAAATGCAGATTCTCAAGCTCCATACCACCCTGTCAAATCAGTATTTTCATCCCAGGACCCCCAGGTGATTCATATGTACATTACAATTTGAGATGCACCATGTAATCCAAAGATGGAGCGTTCAAGTGACAGCATTTCTAGAGGCGATGGTGGTTCTCGACATCATCACTACCCTCATTCATATACAACAAGACAAGAAGGTTTGTTGTGGAAGATTGTGAAAGTGAAAAGAAGGTTTCAGAGATGTTGAGGGCTAGCTCCCATCCAGGTTTGTGCTGAAACCTTCCCCAAGGATGGGTAAGGCCTGACTGGCCTTCCCACAGCCCTATGACTCTTCCTCTTAGATTCCTGGCAGATCTGATAACCATGCTGGGCCACCCCATCTCTTCCATCTATCATTGGCTGTGGTGCTATGTGTCTCCAGTTGTGCTGACAATCCTGTCTGTGACCTCCTTCATTAATCTGTGTCTGAAGACACCAATTTACTTGGCCTGGAATGTAAGCCTTGTGAGCAATCTTCCCCAAGCCTCAGGACCACTTAGGGAGTGGGCACCAGGTCTTTCATTTCACTTCTGTCTCTAGGACCCAGATAGCTCATCCTCAAATTCTCTGAGGATTCAGTTATTTAGTCTCCTGCCCTGGACTCCTTCTACAGCCTCCCAATTCAGAGAATCTAGGCATTCTAAGCCTTCTTCCCTTTTCTCGACAGTCCAAGGAAGTTTTGCACAACTACCCACCATGGGCTGTGGCCTTGTTCAAAGCCACCATCACCATCACCATCTTCCCCATCCCTATGTATTTCTTGTACACTCTGATACAGACGGTTTTACAAAAGCCCCTCATCCACAGTACAGCCTCAACACGCTTCCATTTTGAATCTAAAAAGAGCTCACCAATATCCCATCCATAGCTTCAGAAGATTAAAGGCCCAAAGAAAAACAGGAAAATGGTTAACGAGAAATGGAAAACAAAAATTCTACCATGTGACTAAATCTCAGAAATAAAGACTTGGTTTACTTGAATTAATGTGACTTCGTTTTCAAAGTGAAATTCCTTGCTGGTAAAGACAGATAAATGTGACAGTGGCTTTTGTTCTTCTTGATTGGAAACATTTTTCTGGCCTGATGAGAACTAACAGAGCTGTCCTCCCTTCCCCACCTCCACCTTCATCAGAACCATGATAATGGTATTCTTTGACTTCCAGTGTTTAATTTATGGTGACTGCTACCTTCCTTTGGAGTCCTGGTGTGGCGCTGTGGGCTAATGCGTCAGACTGCCAAGTTGTTTAAACTGCAACCTCAGTGGTTCAAGCTCACCAGGAAACCCTATACAGGGTCCTATGGGTCGGAATCAACTCAACAGCACTTAACAACAACAACAAACCTTCCTTTAGGCTATCTTCCTTTTAGACTAAGACTGGTTCCTATAAAAGATCTGATCTCTATAAAACCATGGCAAAAATCGTATTGGTAAATCAGTTCCATTGAACCTTACTTTCGTCATTTAAAAGTGCCCAACTCTCAGTCTTGCTTTCCACTGACTGTCAAACCGGAATGCTGGAATTCCAGGTCCTCTTTGGTTGGTGCTGCCTGTTCATACACTAGAGCAGGAAGGGACAATCTACTCAGAAAACACTTGGTTTGCTAATGATGACAAAGTCAAAGGATGTTATACAAGACGATCCAACATGGGCTGCCCACTAATCTGTGACCTCATTTTTATCTCAAATCCTTGAAATAACCGGTTACTGCACAAAGCCTGCCAAGGGATTTAAAAATGCATCACATCATACATTTTGACTGTTGTCGTTAAGTGCCATGGAGTTGGTTCGGACTCATAGCGACCCTGTATAAAGTTTCTGAGGAGCAGTTTGTAGGTTTGAACCTCTGGCCTTGTGGTTCGCAGTCCAGTGCTGATCCTACAGCGCCTCACTCTGGGGGGGGAGGGGGTTGCAGGGAATTTGGAATAGAATAGAAGTTAGCTGGTGAGACTAAAGAAGGTTCCCAAAAACTTCATTTCTGGCAATATGGTAATAAAATAAGACAAGCAGCACAGTTTTCTATATGTATCTAAAATCTAACAAAGTATATTTTGAAAGCATAGATTAGCTTGGAAGAATCAAAGGGAAATCCTCAAAAGTCCAAAAAGGAAGCCTAAACTTGAATTGAGATCGGCAAGCAAATGTTGACTCTCCTAACTGCTTTGGGGAAGTAGCCATTCTCCAATAACATTTAAACGTTGTGTGGGAGACAGGAAACAAGGCCTTGTGTCCACACCAAATATAGAGATACACAGACAGCAGAAGGGCTATATATATACCCTCTGTGAAAAGGTGAAGTAACACTCTCTGAGAGGAGGGAAATACTGTTTGTTTGTTTTTTATTTTGAATATTTGTAACCATAAGTCTTTTTCTTACATGGACCTGGATTCAAATTCACACAACCTACGTAATACGGAAAACCCAAGTTGAGATTTATACACATGGTGCCTGGTAAATAGCACCCTTACTCCTACTGCCTGTCATAAGTCATTATACATCTCCCTGGGGAAACACAACCTCTACGAGGCCACAGAGAATTCCCCCAGACAGACTTTCAATGAACATGAGGTCACAAAAGAAAATGCCAAAATCCACAAGGAAACAAGACACTTTTCAAAAGAGGGATTAGCAAAAATAACAAGTAACAGAACCAGCCATTCAAAGACTTAACGTGTCAAAATTATCAAGACCATAAATATAATACGTTGAATATATTTTAAAGTCAAAAACGGAGTTGAAGTTATGAGCAAGGAGCAAGAGTTTCTCAAAAAGTATCAGGGGGACAACAAACAAGATGGCGGATCGGGTGGAAGTGCAGTAGGAGCTCCGCAGGCAACAACACAGAATACAGGACCAAGCAGGCTCAGGGG